CCTATTACAAACCTAACCACTGGGCAGGTCCACCTTACCTAAGTGACACTGCTCAAGAAGTCGGGATCCTCTCCCCCACACACGCTCGTGTGAACACGGTCCTCGTGTGAATATGGTCCTTATACCAACAAGATATCTATCCACTACAAAACTTCACGTATCCCATAAGTGGGGATTGTACCACTGTATGCCATCCACACTAGAGCTAGTCTTATAGCTCTGGAAAACGTGAATAAGACCATATAGACCTCTAAAAACAGTACTTAGTACCTGTTGGGATATACTGCACCATTATTTGCTGTCTTTTCATTTTTTTCATATGGATTTCACGAATATCCCATGTTCATACGTTACTGAGGAATACTTCCCCTGACAAGATTGTGACCGACATCTTATACAAGGTTTTATTTGGACTTTTTTTGATGCATTTATCAGGCATAGACTCTTTTGGACTTTATCTTTGGACTCTTGATTATTATTCATTATCCATATTTCAAGCTCTTTTTGGTTTTTTATCTTGTATGTATTTTCTCTTATATAGTGTCTTGTATATGTGCTTTTATAGTTTATAATCAGGTTTATTTATTTATTTATATTTTATTTCACCTGTGGCGCCACCTCCTCTTTCACTTTTTTTAGTTTTGTCTACTCTATAGGGCCTGTGAGGGAGCCCTATTTTCAGGTGTGCTGCCTTACATTTATCTCTGTAAGATCTAGTATATTAGCGCCTATCCTTTGTACATATAATTCTACATCATAAATGCTCCTCTAGCTCCAGATACCAGGAGGCAAGCTATAAAGTGCTGGCATTCTTGCACAAGACACCAGATATCTTACACAGAATATTCCCGGAGGTGCCCAACACATGCTGGAGGTGCGGTACAGGTCCAGGAATGCTAATACACATTTGGTGGGATTGCCAACAGATCACACGGTTCTGGACCGAGATAAAACAAAAAACTTAAGAGATACTAGGAGACAAAGGGAACTTCGACAAAGAATTGGCCCTACTACACTCCACACCGGTCCCCATCAGAACCTACAGGAAATCAATCCTCCGGCATCTCCTCAATGCAGCCAAAGCCCTGATCCCGCTGTATTGGAAACAAACCACAATTCCCACAACAGGGCAATGGTTAGAAAGACTAGAAGAAATATACTCTGCGGAATCGGTGCAGGCGTCCCTTCTCGGAACCGAAGAGAAACATGTAGACAGGTGGCGGCCGTGGCTGACCTACATGGCAGAACAATCCACACAGACAGGAGGAAACACATGAACACAGCTACAGACAGGAGCCCAGCAACCGGAAAGACAAACCTCCACCCTCCAGAACTAAGCACACCCCCTGGATACAGGGATCTAACAACCCCCGACGTGCGGCCCGCCCCACCCCTCCTACCCCCCTCATACCCCTACTCTTCCCCCCACCTTCTACATGCCTCCCCCACCTTCCATCTCCCCTTAACCCCTCTTCCCCTCAAACCCCTACCCACCTATTAATGAAACACCTACAGAATGAAACAACAGACGAGACAATAGCAACCTGACCGATTACACATGACGTACGATACATCACCTACCATCACTGACAGATACAAAAAGACGAGCACCTAACTGACACCCAAACAGAACGAAATCTCACAAATCCCTACAGCAGAGATAGCTACCCACATGAATACAAGCCTAACGATGTTAACACCTAAGCATGGGACCTACAGGCCCCATATCCAGAAACTAGAACTACCTATTAATTGACTTACACACCCAAAGCCGATAGCGGTTCTAGATATCCATGGGAACGGCATCAGTCATGCGACACACTCCCTTGGGGGGAGGGAGAAAAACAAAAAAAGTTTAACCTGCCTGTGTCTTACTATATTTTGTTCCTCTAATAACTGCTTAGTGAAAAATACTAACGCAAAAAGCCTACAACAATCGTATTAGCGGGACCTACGTGTCCCACCTTCAAAAACTATCAAATTGCATGTACTAAATTGCAATACTTCATGCACAATAAACAACTTTAAAATGAAAAAAAAAAGACAGGTCAATACCCAATTCTTTACAAAAAGATTTCCAGAATCGAGAAATGAACTGAGAACCTCTGTCAGAAACAATGTTTCGAGGAATCCCATGTAACCTTACTATTTCCTTAATAAAAATCTGAGCAAGGTCTTGCGAGGAAGGTAATTTTTTCAGCGGGACAAAATGGTCCATTTTAGAGAAACGACCTATGACCATTAGTGTAGTGTTATATGCCTTATAGACAGGCAACTCCACAATGAAGTCCATGTATGAGACCATGGAATAAGAGGCACAGGGAGAGTTTGTAACAACCCACATTTCAATTTGTGCGGAACCTTCGAGACAGCACAAGTCTGGCAAGTATTGACATAAGTGATAACATGAAGCTTAAGAGAAGGCCACCAGAACTTTCTGGTTACCGTTGAAATGGTTTTGCATGTACCTGGATGCCCAGTTGTAACATTATTATGAAACATAGCAAGAATTGTCCTTCTTTCAATTTCAGGAATGAACAGGAGACCTGAAGGTTTATTACCAGGTGCCTGAGGTTGAGCTGCGATTATGACACCAAGAAGAGGTGTGGACAAAAAAAGGACCACACCATTCATGTCCTTCCTTGATTCTAACTAGATTGTAAGCACTCCTTAAATCTAGTTTAGTAACTATCTTAGCCTCTTTTAACCTGTCAAAAAGTTCTGAAATAAGTGGTATAGGGTAAGCGTTCCCTATGATGATTTTATTAAGTGCCCTGTAATCAATACAAGGCCGCAGACCACCATCTTTTTTAGAAATAAAGAAAAACCCTGCTCCTGCTGGGTAAGAGGATCTGCATATATGACACTTAGTTAACGCATCCTGTATATATTCCTCCATGATTTTACTTTCCAGAGGAGACTGGATATAAACTCTCCCTTTCGGGGTGTGATAAAGTGGAGGCAGATAGGCCTATAACATTTAACATATAACATTTAACATTTAAGTATGTGTAGTATGTGTTGTAGGCAACACAATCCACCGTTTAGTTATGGGCCCCTGGGGTGGAGCATTTGGAGAGCAGGGTGGGCCAATTCTCCACTCCTCAGTTTATACACAACTGGGGGAAATAATGTCCAGATTGTCTCATAACCTTTTTACCTAGTGGTGCCTTACCATCAATTCATACCACCGAGGGATGACAATGTTCAGATTGGTTACAGTAACAAAATACTCTTTGCTGTAAAAAATATACCATACAAATGCAGATATCTTTCAAGTACAATACAAAATGGTTCGTCAGCTTTTCACACCACTATCAAAGAGATAGAGGGCTAAGGGCTACAAATAGAAATGAGAAAAA